TATAACCCTAGTGTCTCTTTTCCATATACATTTTACCATGTATATCTTCACATAACATGTAGCACAATATAACAATTTAAACACAAAATATTTAGTGCACAATGAATGCAATGGTCTAGACCTATATCCATCAAGCCCTAGGTAAATCGTATATCTATGCTCTGATACCAAGCTGTGACGCCCCTAAAATCAGGGGTCTTTTTTCAACCGTTGACCACCCGTCAACCTACGGAAGTACCCGTGACTGTCACACAACTCAACATCACGTCAATAGTATCCTCTTAACCAGAATTATAAGTCACACGTGTAACCCGTGTACTTTTTATCATTTAATCAAATTGTGGTGTAATGTACCACATTTCATACTCCATTATAGTCTATTTATATCATTTGGAATGAAAGACATATGGCCCAAAAGCATAGCAAAATAATTTTTAAAAATTTTAAATTTTTGGAAGTCCTATCGGTATGGCATATCGATAGGGTATACCGGTAGGGTTTGCCTTCTGGACAAAGTTGTACTGGTATGCCCAACCAGTATGAGTTGCCCACTAGATTTCGTCATACCAGTACGCTCTACCGGTATGCTTTGTCCACTTTTGCCTGTTTCACCTGTTTTGCATTTTCAACTCATTCTAAACCATATTACGATCATCCAACACATGTATAATAAATATTTTCATTTAGTACAAAGTTCATACACATTCTATTATGTTCATTTCCATAAATTTACATATCAAAAATAAAATTTTCATAAATTTTTACAAAAACTCAAAATAGAGCCACATTTCGGCTTTCCTCATATTTGAGGCCCTGAGTGAGAGTCTTTTGCCAACGTACCACCCGCACTTGAAATGTTTTTCCCATAAAGGTGAACCACGCTCAGTGGAATATTTCGTACAGAGTCTACTCCCCAACTTAGATGCATATGAAATGTTCACATGCAACACATAAACAAGCAACAACCATTCTAACCAAGATTTAGCAAGTCTAAGTTAGAATTTAACATGTCATGTCATGATATGAGGTGATTATCACTCATGCAACTTTACCCGAGCCCTCCCTAACTCCTTTCACCCATACAATGCTATGAATATAAAATTGGGATTTCCAAACCCCTGCCATTGACATTACACACCTAATGACTCTTTTATATAAAAATCTCCGAGTCTTTCTTGGGGTGGGTATTTATGGACTTACACCAACGGCACCCAACTGACACGAAATTTATGGACTTCTACCAATGGTTTTGCGTATACCGACACATTTTATGGGCTCTTATACCAACGAAGTGTGTATTCGATCACCGGATCTCTTACCCGAGGGATAGTCTAGCCCTTCTTGCTAACTCTGACCGAATTCTTTCTCCATACAATCGTGCGACTCAGTCAGATCTTCGATCTAACTTTCTTGAGCTCACCCATCATCCACCTATGTAGTGTTTGATATCAACCATGCACACACACACCCACACTCATGGCTATGGATGCAGTTCTTTTCGTGCAAATGCAATGTAATGCCCCATTGTTATATCAATGTCATGCTCATATGCAATGAATGCCACATAAGCAATGTCAATCTCATATCTACATATTCCATGGCCAATTATATCATATGCATATAATCACCAAACTTTATCATAATGTTAACATATCAATAAACATACATTAATATTTTATTTCTAACAACATATCTCAAGCATGTTGTTACATAACATATGCCAATAACATACTTCATTCACAAAGACATAACATAAACACATAGCATGCCCACATAATATCATATTTCATGGAATTACACAAATAATTTTCATATATTAATTCTCACATTTTTCAAGAAATTACTTTGAGTAATTTATAAATGTCCATTATAGGATAGGATTTATTCTACCCCTTTTCAATGCTCATTTCATCAATTTCACCACAATAGACAAGTGATATATATAACTCTATCAACCTACCCATTTCATTTAACACCCTAGGTTGTAAAATAACCAAAGTAGGAAGGAACCCTACCTCTTGAAGCGTAAAACAACATTAGGAAGTCTCAAGAACCCAAAGCAAGCTTGAATCATCACTTCCCCAAAATTTCATCCTTAGAACCTTCGGTGAAACCCATCGTTTTTAGTATGGTCGCGTAGCCCTCGATGAAAGGAACAACTTTTCCTCTTGGCTCCAGCTGATTCAAGCAAAACTTGGCCCTAGATCACAAGGAGAGCTTGAGAAACCCTTGTTTCTCCCTCTTTCTCTCTCTTTTTCTATCATTCAACTGTCTGAGCACAATGGGAGAGAAAATCAGATTTTCCCCCCTATTTATAGCCTTAGAATACTTGGCCCACAACGCGCCACATGACCCTTTTTTTTCGAGTTCGTTTTCGCCTCGAAACGATTAAATTTCGTCCCGGTTCAAGTTTAAAATATTTTTATTTTAACTTGCCTTATATTATCTTCTTAATTTCAAAATTTTATTAAAAATTTCATTTTTGGGTCACCCGATACTCGACCGTCTCGTAAAACGTAAAAAAATCAACTATCTCAGAATTCGACGAAAATTGACGGGGTAGCTATATTTCGTAAGACAAATTCAACGATAAGGTCTTTTTCATCATTCGAGTTTCTAAAAAAATTTAGGTTTATAACATGTACCGTAGTGACAAATTATCATTTTACCCTTTTCATAAAAAGTTTAAATTTACCTGAGTTTTACAGCTTATCACGTCCGAACTGTCTTCTGCTCTGATGATCCTTACCAACATCTCTAGATAAGTCGTCATTGACTTTAGCGTACTTCTCGATTCTCGTCATCAGTCCTTCTAGATTTGTGGCAGGCCTTCTAGTTAGGGATTGGCACAAAGGATTCTCCTTTGACAACCTGATCTTGAAGGATGCTACTACAATTTTAGGATTGTAAGTTTCTACCTCATTCATCGTCTCCCAATAACGATGAGCGTACTCTCGCAAAGTCTCATTATTTCGCTTATTTAATGTCAGCAGAGCCCTAACATCCTTGGGCTGTTTGCTGCTTGTAATGAATCGGGCTATGAACTGTTCGGTTAACTGTGGCCATCCGTCTATCAACCCCTTCGAAAAGCAGTCAAACCATTTCATAGCCAACTCCCCGAGGCTGCTAGGGAAAATTATGCAGAGAAGGGGTTCGTTCCTCTGATGAATGGTCATCAATTGTCTGTAATGCCTGATGTGGGAGACTAGGTCTATCTTTTCATCGTAAAGCTTGAAATTCGAGACTGTAAATTTACTCGGGATTCGCCCCCTTTCGATCCATAAACTAAAAGGGGATGACTCCGAGCCGTCTCCATATTCTTCTATTACTCTTCTGGCTAGGTCTCTAACTTATCTCTGTTCTGGTCTTTTCAAACAGTTGTTGAGTTCCTTAATGATGAACTACTTCCATGAGTCCTCCTCCTGGATCCAAGGTCTTTTCTGTTGGTACTTATCTTCATCAGCATTTTTGGTTCTATCGTGTTTCCTTTCGGGACTTCCTCGCTGGTTTTCCCTTACACACTTCTCTTTCCTGGTTATCTCCTTTAGCTTGGCCTTGAGTTCCTCATTCTCTTTTATTAGATCTTTTTCCCTGGCATAGGATTTCTTAAATAGTTTATCATGCACATCAAGTCGGTCCTGCAAGGATTGGACCAACTTTGCCAAGGAGTGGTTCTCCCCCTCAGCACAGAGGAATTTACCACGATCTACAATTTGCTAGTTTTGATTCCTGAATGGTTTGAAACTTGCTGAGGACACCTCGTCATCCTCGTGGGGTCTAACCTAAAGTTGCTATTGGATCAGAATTACCCAAGGCAAAACTGCCTACAGGTGATCCAATGACACTTCTGAGTCTTGACATCGTAGCTTTTTGTTCCGATTGATGAAAATTTTTCCACAGACAACACCAAAAAATGTAAGAGGCAACAATTGATGGTACCTCCTACAGGAATTATAAATGGATATTTTTAATAAAGGGTGAGCTCTGAACTTGATCTCTCAGTCCTCTGTTCCTGCAAAACGAGCAAACTGTCCAAGATTGAAATACTTCGATCGAAGGCACTCTGATGCTTAAGTCAGTATGGGAATTGATTGAATTGCTAATAGACAAGGAAAGTTCAGTGTACATTTTACTTTGGCTTCTTGTGCATTTTATAGATCCTGGTTCCACTAGGATTTTCATGATTCTCGATTCAAGGTGGCACACCTTCCTTCAATTAAGTGATTCAGTTTGGGAAGTTGTTGATATTTCTCCAACAATTCCTTCTGTCAGGCCTATAATTTCGTTGATTTGTTTAGCCAGAATGTCTGAGTTAAAGGCATATCCTTATCTTTCCATTTACTGTTTCAAACAACTCGGTCGCAATAAGATCTGAACTCTTTCGTTGCTCACCGAAGATATTGAACAACATGGTTCGGTAAGGGCCGAGCTCTTTCATTGTTTGCTCAACACATTAATCAGCTCGGCTAGGTCTATTGATTGAGTGACTGACGCCTTCGTCATGTGCCTTGTTTTGTCATCTTCACGTGCCTCATCTTGTCATTCTCACATGGACTCATTTAATGTCATAACACGTGTAATAAAGGGAGCCACCCTCTTCAATATCAATGGTGTAGAATTGTCTTTGGAGATATAAAAAACAGGTAAGCCAATAATATATCAACTGATAATTGATATGAAAAGGGTAGGCTTTAATTTAGTGCAATGAAGTTTTACATAAAGAAACTATGACAACTGCTTTTTTGCATCTAATGTATTAGGAATCTGTAATCATTACATCATTAGTCAGTAGGTAAATATTTTCCATAGCTTATTTCCCTTATTTAGAGTTGGTTCTGACTTAGTTCTTCGAATATTGCTTTGGTGCGTCTATTCGTTCATTAGCTATATGTGTGGTATTTTAACTCTGCAAAGTATGAAAGTTTGTAGACAAATTCTAAACTTGAACCTGATGTTGAGATTTGGAACTGAAATGAAATTAACTTTGGAATTTATTGGGTTAAAAACATAAATTTGGTTCCAGATGTATTTTGCAACGCACTGATAGTAGTCAATTTCATCAATTAAACCATCTTTTTCCAAAAATCTTTACCAAGATTTTCAAGATAACTGTGTATAGAAAATCCAGAATGCTCTTCATGATATTTGATTTAAAGTAGCTGCTTCCGGTGCTTTATGTAAATTGTTACATTGCTCTTTACTCATCTAAAAATAACCTCTAACAAATCCTTGGCATTCATATGATAAACCATATATGGTTCTAGATGGTGAAACTACAACTACTTGGAGGTGGAAAATTCAACTGTTGTGGATCAGTGTTTGTTGCTAGTTTCCTTCTTCAGTCTCGTGACTTGATAAGTGTTACAGGATAGCTGTCGGAGTGGTACAAACAGGACGCTAATGCAGCCAAATTGTGTCCCTCGAAGATTCCCATTAATCTAAGTTCCGGGTTGAAGCTTCATCTTTCGCAAAGAAAGGTATGCCAACAAACGGTAGCCAACAACCATGGCTGCCAGGGCACCAACTTCCTTATAGCCGTTGTCTACTTTCTTTCCATTGATTATGGGACTTATGTGTTCATACTGTACCTTCAGGAGAAGTTTATAAGTGTGATAGTTGAAGGAGAGATAGCGGAGCCATGATATGAATACCGGAACTTCCTGCAAAATTACAGGTCCTGTCTTAGCACTCCTGCTCACTGAGTGGATAGCAGTTCAAAAAAGAAACTTATTGCTAATTCTTTCTCCTTTTACTTACATAACCACTTGTTTTGAATGATCTCAAGAAAGCATTACTTAATCAATGTTAGGAACTAATGAGACGGTTTTTGAAACAATGGATCTGTTACTTCTAAACGGATTTGCGTGGTTACCTTCACAAAATACCCCCCAGCCAACATAAAGGTCATCACAGTTACTGAGGCCAGAGTTGTTGCCCTTTTCAAGTCCATCATTGTAGCACCAATAGCTAGTCCAAGCCCCTGTCATTGCAATCCAACATGTAACAAACCAAGCTATGAATTTGTATTCATTTTCAATGTTGATCTATTAGATGCAAAAAGGCATACCTGTGCCGCTACAATGCTGAGGAGAACTGTAAGCATGGTTAGAAAAAATGAACCAGCACTCTGCCTTAAGCCTGCCATGAAATAGACAACAAGAAGGAAAAGTACTGGCAGCAAAAGATCAAGTGGAAGGTCACTCGTAGTCCTAGCCACAAAATATGCACTTAATCTATACATGTCGGCTGCTCGTTCCTTGTTCAGCATAGCTCTTTCTTGGGGAAAAGTGAAGATTGCTGTGAAAACTGGAAAAAATCCCCAGAATACGGCAATAAAGAACAGCAGTCCCGCCTGCCATGCATATTCATGAGACCTCACTTACATTCTCCGTGGAAGAAAAGATGTTCTAGTTTATTGGACTAGCCCGTGTGGGACTTTTTATGGAGAAAGCATGGTATGAATCTTTCTTTGCACTTTTTAGAATCTTTTCATTCTCCAATCCATCAAATAGTAGTCCTATGGACCACATTCTTGTGGAAAAATGTTCAAGCTAGCTTTTATTGAAATTGCAAATATGATTTGCGACTCCTTTCTTATTTGTGTTATGAAGGTATTTACCCTCATTTCTTTCGCCTGTTTGTTAGTGACATTTTAATTATGCATCTAGGGAAGACAGTCCAATAGAGGCCAAGATGTGCCTTCATGGAGTAGACTAAATAATAGTATTTGAGTGCGTAACTCATAGAGAAATCATGTAGTGCTGGTTGAGTGCTCTCAAGTGATGAAGGGAATGCAATTTAGGTAGTGACGAAGTCTCTCTTTGTGAAAAGGTGTCTAATGGAAGATATTACTTGGTCAGATGGAACAGTTGATCTCGTATGGATTAAAGAAAGTATGAGTTTTGTTCTAGCAAATCACTGGTAGAATGTTAAGTTTAGGAATTAAAAACGTTTAAAGTTGAAGATTTTTAGTTTTGTTTTTTTTTTCCCCGGTTATTTCTTCACATATATCTCCTTAGTTTTCTTGTATATTATAGCAGTCATTCTAGTCGTGGTATTACAGTGGTAGTTGTGTGGTTAGAATCCGATTGGGTCGGTGACATTGGTCAAGTTCTTTAACATGGCACCAGAGTCGTACCTGATTTTGCAGTTCTTCGGGGCTATTGACCTCTGATTGCCACCAGAGTAATCCCAAGACAACTGCGGTGGTGGTGACTTGGGTAATTCTCAACCAACTAAAATAGTCATGTCGCCTTTCTTTGAGTCCTCTCCAGAATAATATGGAGAACTGTTCACCCCAGCTTGCTCCCCATTCTCGCTTTGTAGAATTCACTTTTGACTTCATATTTTCGTCAATTGGTATGGGAATCATTAGTTTTTTCTTCTCACTCTCAGCCACTCGAGTCTCATAGGCCTCCACGAGATACTGTTCAGAAACTAAAACATAGTCAGGCAAAGTTTAGGCTTTGATGCTTTCTACATAAATCACAGTTGCCACTCACTTTTGAATGTCAAAAACTTTGCAATATTGTGGAACTTGAAATTCAAATGTAACATACCAAATTTCAGGCCTAGCAAAACCAAAGAAACAAAAAACCTTCCACTGATTCACTATGCATTATTGATGCTACATAAAGAAGAAACTGCTGGAATTTTTACAATTTTCGGCACTTGACAGGATTACCAAGCAGCTCCCTAGTCTACTCAATGTAGTTTCAGAAATAACCTAATTGTATTCAAATGCGCCAATGCTGTAGCTCGTAGTTAGTATTTGAAAAGATTTTTTTTTTGGTTTGAGCTGCTTGTAATATGCATATGGAATTTATGTTACTTAACCTCATGCACAACTGCTGGAGATGGCTTTCCGTTCCTCATTTCTGATTCGGAATTCTCCACTTGCACATTGTCATGTAGTTCTGATGGTACAGAGACATCATTTATGTTTCCATTTGCAAGGTCTAGCAGGAACTCTGCTGGATTCATGGCAATAAGAGGGGAGCATCCTATGGATGAAAAATATACCATTGCTTCCGATGCCTTTCCAAAGTAAAGCAGGCTCCCTTTGCCAAGAAGGATCAACTTGTCAAATTTGTGGAAGAGTCTGCTAGATGGTTGGTGGATAGTGGTGATCACTGTTTTCCCTGCCTGCCATAAGATTGACCAAATAAGAAATGTGTAGATATAAAGGATTAGTATAAAGTGGAGAGAGATACTCATAGGTGACTATAAATTATCATGGGTTGATGTATCTGTTTTGAGGGAGAGCTCGAAGATGATGGAGCCCAAAATGATTGCAGGATTAATGCGTGTAGAGTGCCTCTGGTGTTGTGCAATTGGAGAATACCAATGATACTCAGGTTAGTTATGTTATAGGATTGGAAAATGGTGAAGCCAGGAGTAGTACAGATGGAGGTCAATGGAGAGAAGGTTGTCCAAATGGTCCACTCATCCGTAATGAAGGCCAGTCACTCCACCAATAAAAAATGGTNTATAGCAGTCATTCTAGTCGTGGTATTACAGTGGTAGTTGTGTGGTTAGAATCCGATTGGGTCGGTGACATTGGTCAAGTTCTTTAACATGGCACCAGAGTCGTACCTGATTTTGCAGTTCTTCGGGGCTATTGACCTCTGATTGCCACCAGAGTAATCCCAAGACAACTGCGGTGGTGGTGACTTGGGTAATTCTCAACCAACTAAAATAGTCATGTCGCCTTTCTTTGAGTCCTCTCCAGAATAATATGGAGAACTGTTCACCCCAGCTTGCTCCCCATTCTCGCTTTGTAGAATTCACTTTTGACTTCATATTTTCGTCAATTGGTATGGGAATCATTAGTTTTTTCTTCTCACTCTCAGCCACTCGAGTCTCATAGGCCTCCACGAGATACTGTTCAGAAACTAAAACATAGTCAGGCAAAGTTTAGGCTTTGATGCTTTCTACATAAATCACAGTTGCCACTCACTTTTGAATGTCAAAAACTTTGCAATATTGTGGAACTTGAAATTCAAATGTAACATACCAAATTTCAGGCCTAGCAAAACCAAAGAAACAAAAAACCTTCCACTGATTCACTATGCATTATTGATGCTACATAAAGAAGAAACTGCTGGAATTTTTACAATTTTCGGCACTTGACAGGATTACCAAGCAGCTCCCTAGTCTACTCAATGTAGTTTCAGAAATAACCTAATTGTATTCAAATGCGCCAATGCTGTAGCTCGTAGTTAGTATTTGAAAAGATTTTTTTTTTGGTTTGAGCTGCTTGTAATATGCATATGGAATTTATGTTACTTAACCTCATGCACAACTGCTGGAGATGGCTTTCCGTTCCTCATTTCTGATTCGGAATTCTCCACTTGCACATTGTCATGTAGTTCTGATGGTACAGAGACATCATTTATGTTTCCATTTGCAAGGTCTAGCAGGAACTCTGCTGGATTCATGGCAATAAGAGGGGAGCATCCTATGGATGAAAAATATACCATTGCTTCCGATGCCTTTCCAAAGTAAAGCAGGCTCCCTTTGCCAAGAAGGATCAACTTGTCAAATTTGTGGAAGAGTCTGCTAGATGGTTGGTGGATAGTGGTGATCACTGTTTTCCCTGCCTGCCATAAGATTGACCAAATAAGAAATGTGTAGATATAAAGGATTAGTATAAAGTGGAGAGAGATACTCATAGGTGACTATAAATTATCATGGGTTGATGTATCTGTTTTGAGGGAGAGCTCGAAGATGATGGAGCCCAAAATGATTGCAGGATTAATGCGTGTAGAGTGCCTCTGGTGTTGTGCAATTGGAGAATACCAATGATACTCAGGTTAGTTATGTTATAGGATTGGAAAATGGTGAAGCCAGGAGTAGTACAGATGGAGGTCAATGGAGAGAAGGTTGTCCAAATGGTCCACTCATCCGTAATGAAGGCCAGTCACTCCACCAATAAAAAATGGTTGTCCAAATACAAGGCATTGCACAGAAAAAGGGAAGGCCAAAAAAATTTGGTTGTGGCTACGAGGGAAGACATTGTGGCCTATGGTTTTATAACACAGATATGTCCCTAAATGCAGATAATGGTGAAAAGGAATTACCTTAGTAGTCAAGATGAATAAATGCTGTGTAGTGATCTAAAAGTAGTGTTGTTGCTACAGTGTGATCATGAAATCTGAATCTAGATGTTAAGATGCCATGGGAGAGGATGGTAAGAATACACCCTATCATGGTTTTTGATAAGATGAGCTCAAGCTTTAGGGCTTGGAATGCAACATACCTCAGCTATATCATGCAACATATCAACAATCCTCAAGGCTGTTGTAGAATCCAAGCCAGAGGTGGGTTCATCGAGAAACAATACGGAAGGGTTAATTATTATTTCATTTCCAATACAGACACGCTTCCTCTCTCCACCTGAGACTCCCCGAACAAAGGAGCCACCGATCATAGTGTCTTGGCACCTGTGCATTCTGACTGATTAGTTTTCTAGAATAAGTTTGCCTTTTCTTTTATTGTATCTTTCAAAGAGAATATTGCTTTTTGATTTTTAGAGGACTCAATCATCTGAATTTTCAACCGTATATGGTTGGTTTAAGGTAATGGTGATTTGAGCTTTATATGCAATTTGGAGAAACAATTAATAGCAGGGAAAAGAAAATTTACCTCTCCAAGCCCAACTCATAGATGACGTCTGTGGCTCTTTTTTCCTTGTCCTGTTTTGTCAATGTCTTTGGCAGTCGTAGGAGAGCTGCATATGTTAATGTTTCTTTCACCGTGAGATGAGGGAATAGCACGTCGTCTTGAGTCACAAATCCTATCCTGAGATGATGGTTCATGTTATTCTAATGTGTAACATGCTTCTCTTTATGACTTCTGTGGCAGAGTATTTTTGCTTCAGACAATTAGCTCTTGGTGAACTTTGAGAATGTGTAGGTGAAACAAATCATAGGGTCAAGTTTTACATAAATCAAACATAATTATTCTTGTTTCGAATTTCTAACGGAAATAAGTTGCTTTAACTATTATTTGCTTGTTATCTGCTGATAGGATAAATTACATCACCTTTAACATTGGTTGATGAATTCTCATAACAGTACTGTTGATGTGTTCAATTCTCACTAATATGCTGTTTGAGTTAAGGCTTTGCTAACTGAAACTGTTGAGACATGAACGACGCATAACTTTATCTTTGTTAGAAATTAGTCTTGGAAACCAGAAGTAGGAAAACTCTCTTATTTATTTTGACATAACATGCTAAGCATAGTTTGTCTTTCCAGAAACCATTGTCAAAGGTGCTAAAGAATTAATTCTTGCCTGCTTTTTAGGAACTTTGAATATGGCTGGTCATTGTAAGTAATTGAACCACCTGGGGTGGGCTCTCTTAACCTGCCTCCAAGCAGAGTTAGGAGTGTAGTCTTGCCGCTTCCTGAAGGTCCCATCAGTGCCAAAACTTCTCCTGGATTCACTGAACCGGTGATTCCATTTAGGATACACTTCTCAGCCGTAGTTCTCACTCCTTTGAGAATCACTTTGTATGTCACTTCTGTAAACTGCATAGTTTAGAATAAGAAATTCAAATTCTTGTAAATGAGGAAGATTTCCTTTGATATGGTTATACATAATTGTAGTGGGATAGCCTCACCATATTCTTGTTTACATAAAACTGCACAATCGTCTTTTCACAATAGAGCAGTGCTTTTAGGAACTATTTTCTCGTCATTTAAGCCCCCATCGGGACCAATTCTAGTCACAGTGCAAGTGAATATGGCAAGTTTTAGACTATACTACAGGTTTGTTAGCAAGTTTAATGAAGGAGTACTATTAGGTACTTTGTTTTCTAGACTGAAGTTGCAGTTTGTATTTTGATGCAAGGCTATTTTTATTGTTGTTGTTGGTGAAAGGAAAGTCTTGTACATAAATATCACATAAAATGAGACTCTGTACAAGACTAAACCTGACATGATAGCCATGTTCAAAGGGTCGCGTTGATCGTTACATAATTCTCCATCCTTGCCTGTCGAAACAGATAGTATGAAATTAATCCATGTGCATTTGGGGAGCATGGGTTTGACACCGGGATGTTTTGCAGATCAAAGAAAGGAAAAATGAAAGTCATCATGGCCAGTACATTACCTTGAGATAGATTGGCAAGGTTGGCTCTGTTTGACTTATCTTCTTTCGCATGCCTGCTTCAAGATCCTCGGCTGCAAGAAGCAAATGTAATGCTTAAAAATATGCATGCATTATATCATATGATATTGCAGGAAATATAAGTTGTGCTTCCCTCAGATGTTTTATATGCATTTATACCAAAATTTCCTCCAGTATACATTGTTGGATTTGTTAATGCTCATTTATATGGCCCCCTCTGATAGAATACACACCCTCCAATTGTTCTTTTAATCTCGATTGCTTACTTGTATAGACCAGTACTTTGACAGGCAGGTGCTCGGGTTGTGTGTCATGTCATTCACTTTAAATCACGTACCATTTTGATTGTAATTTTAGTTCATGTTATGTTTATCTCTGTATAGATGGAGTTATTTTGGGATTGGTGTCGTGATCATGTCAATGGATAAAACTAACATACTTGGATCTAATTCTTTGCATCCTCAATCAACTTCAGCATCTTGCCAAACTCTTGACTTTTAACACAGATTATATTCTGAGCTTTCACTTTCTGGTAGCTGGAAGTTGAAAATGGCCATAAAGGCCTTGATAAGGAATACTTGAAGGACCAAGACCTCCAACTGTGCTGGAATTATTGGCATATGGTGGACTATGGAAGAAGAGGAGAGAGAGAAAAAAGACTTTGGCCAAAATTATTTTAGAGATGTGTCATTAGTTTCAAAACCATGGGGCCCATTGGTTCTACTTTTTTCATTTATACTGGGACCCACATATGACTAGACTTCCAACATTGAAAATTGTCAAAGACAAAAATGATGACAAGTGGCTCTGAAAATTATGGAGTGTGACATGGTGGGCACTCATTGTAGACAGAGAGAGAAGGACTATGGCCACAAACCCTTTTCCATGCTGTGGAAGTCATCTTGTGTGGGAGCTCTCTTCCACCTTTCATGGCCAAGAATAAGAATTCAGGCAAAAACAAGAAGAAAAAAAACAAAAATTATTATTGTGTGCAGTTAATTAATTAGGTCAAGATTTAATTATGTCGTCCCATGTCAATCATGCACTTAAAAGAGGTTTTTGGGCTAAAGTTGTTACGAGATGATAGTGACAACACGACCGGATCTTAACTATTCAATTCTCATTATGTAATTGTAAGAAAACGAGTTTTACATTATGAAATTTTTCACCCCAAAAAAAAGAAAGGAAAAATCACTTTTTACTACCCACAAAAATACTTGGCAAATTTTTATTTACTATATTCAGCATTTTACTTAATGTTGAATTTGGGGCCCACTATTCACCAGCTTCTCATTTTCATGTCGTTATAGACACAGTTGGTCTTATGCTTTTATATTAAAAAGCATAGTCTGGCAGTTTCTGTTGGTAGCAGCATCAGTTAAAATCATAAAGATCTTTTCCTTTTTTTCCTCGAACTTTTATCTTATCCAAATTCCTATACTATATTTTATCTTAAAATTTTCAAATAATAGAACACTCACAGTTTATTGTTGAATGATCTGTTTAAATATAATAAGTCTCACTTATATTTATTAAACAATTTATTATTTAAAAATTAAGAAAAAAGTACACTAAAAATTATCTCAATTTCTATTTTTTTTTTTTTTGTTATAGGGTGTTCAGTCTTACGTCAACTATTCTCTCAAGCTCCAAGCCGGCTACCGTAACTCTAGCTAATTTTAAGGACATGTCCCCTGAGTAACAATGATGATCGACCCTTGAGAGGAATAAAAAGTATCAAACCGAGACTTCTTGTTTACAAGAGGACAGACTTGATCACCATAAAAACGGTGTCACTTTTTGGTACACCAATCATTAGGTCAAACTAAAATTTATTTTTTTAATTTTAGAAATATTTGAACAAACTTACTCATACCTCAACTAATCTTTTCTTTCATCCGGTCAAACTTGCTTGTTTCTTATGGCACTTTTACTTTCTCAGTACATTTTTAAAGGGAAACAAATGGTTCTAAGGAAGAAATGACCAAAATACCTACTTACTTTTGGGGATCAGATAGTACATGAACCCAGAAAGCTCTTCTTTGTTAGGGTCTCTTGGTCATTTAAACTTTCTGAATGCCTCTATGTGATTAATAATGCTACTATGGACAAGGCAATGACACATAACTACCATAGCAAAACAAAAGAACAAAATATTTAGAAGTTTTAACTAGCAAATAAACGAGTAATAAAACGAGTTTTATATGATACATGTGATTTACGGATAATTACATATGCGCGATGAATTCAAAACACTTACGGGTTTCATCATCGCTAAACGATCTTAAGTCGGCGACGTCATCGGCCGGGACGGTGAAGCCCGTGAAAGAGAAGGAAAACCCTAAGCTGGCACTAGAAGCCCTGCTCAAAGCTGCACCACTGTTCACCTCATCTATGTCAAATTTCAATTGAGCACTTCTTGACTTCCTAATGTGAGTGTTTTTGCCAGTACTGCCGTTACTCCGCCCTGGCGAGGCAGCCGCTAGCCGTTTGCTGGACTTCCTCGAAAGGGTTCCGCTGCTCTCTGGCCCTCCACCGGCCTGATCACTTGACATTGGTGACTTCATTGCCGCCATTGCCGCCGCCATTGTCTCCACTAGTTGATCGGACTTGGTCCTCATCAAACTTGTCAAACTTGAACTTGATTGTGCTTTCTCCATTTTCTGCTATTGTCATGAAACATCCACAAAAACAAAAATTTAAGGCAAATGACAAGAATTTTTAGTTACTTTGGTTGAGTTTTGATTACAAGGAAAATTGGAAAATAGGTTTTATGAACCCAAAATCAAGATGTTGCAACAAAAGTATAGAAAAAAATATATATAAAAGATAGTCCAGTGTACAAGATTCACGAGATTTTCGTTGTCAATTACGGGTTTGAACAGAAAACACTTGTATAGTATGCATGTGATAATGAAGGTAGACACTTGGGCAATTCCATCCTCTACAAAATTTGGAATTTTTTTTTTGGGGGTCAAAAATTATTATATTTTTTGTGGAAACTATTTGATGTATCAAAATAAATAAAACTCCAACAGATAGGTCGAGGGACGAAAAGGTCAAGTGGTAACAAAGATACACAGTAAACATAGACGGTTTGAGTTCGAATTTTGATAATTTGTTGAGTTCATTGAAATTTATCCTTTTGAATACACTTAATTCTAACGTAGAGGACCTACCTTGACTAAATTTAAAAGAATATTAGTCGAAATACGTGTAAATTAAACTCAACAACTTTGAAGTAATAAAAAAAACCACATAACTATTTTTTCAGAAGAAGTTGTGTCACCTTTTAACATGCATTGCTCACCAGTTTCTAGTTTTTTTTTTTNAGAGGAATAAAAAGTATCAAACCGAGACTTCTTGTTTACAAGAGGACAGACTTGATCACCATAAAAACGGTGTCACTTTTTGGTACACCAATCATTAGGTCAAACTAAAATTTATTTTTTTAATTTTAGAAATATTTGAACAAACTTACTCATACCTCAACTAATCTTTTCTTTCATCCGGTCAAACTTGCTTGTTTCTTATGGCACTTTTACTTTCTCAGTACATTTTTAAAGGGAAACAAATGGTTCTAAGGAAGAAATGACCAAAATACCTACTTACTTTTGGGGATCAGATAGTACATGAACCCAGAAAGCTCTTCTTTGTTAGGGTCTCTTGGTCATTTAAACTTTCTGAATGCCTCTATGTGATTAATAATGCTACTATGGACAAGGCAATGACACATAACTACCATAGCAAAACAAAAGAACAAAATATTTAGAAGTTTTAACTAGCAAATAAACGAGTAATAAAACGAGTTTTATATGATACATGTGATTTACGGATAATTACATATGCGCGATGAATTCAAAACACTTACGGGTTTCATCATCGCTAAACGATCTTAAGTCGGCGACGTCATCGGCCGGGACGGTGAAGCCCGTGAAAGAGAAGGAAAACCCTAAGCTGGCACTAGAAGCCCTGCTCAAAGCTGCACCACTGTTCACCTCATCTATGTCAAATTTCAATTGAGCACTTCTTGACTTCCTAATGTGAGTGTTTTTGCCAGTACTGCCGTTACTCCGCCCTGGCGAGGCAGCCGCTAGCCGTTTGCTGGACTTCCTCGAAAGGGTTCCGCTGCTCTCTGGCCCTCCACCGGCCTGATCACTTGACATTGGTGACTTCATTGCCGCCATTGCCGCCGCCATTGTCTCCACTAGTTGATCGGACTTGGTCCTCATCAAACTTGTCAAACTTGAACTTGATTGTGCTTTCTCCATTTTCTGCTATTGTCATGAAACATCCACAAAAACAAAAATTTAAGGCAAATGACAAGAATTTTTAGTTACTTTGGTTGAGTTTTGATTACAAGGAAAATTGGAAAATAGGTTTTATGAACCCAAAATCAAGATGTTGCAACAAAAGTATAGAAAAAAATATATATAAAAGATAGTCCAGTGTACAAGATTCACGAGATTTTCGTTGTCAATTACGGGTTTGAACAGAAAACACTTGTATAGTATGCATGTGATAATGAAGGTAGACACTTGGGCAATTCCATCCTCTACAAAATTTGGAATTTTTTTTTTGGGGGTCAAAAATTATTATATTTTTTGTGGAAACTATTTGATGTATCAAAATAAATAAAACTCCAACAGATAGGTCGAGGGACGAAAAGGTCAAGTGGTAACAAAGATACACAGTAAACATAGACGGTTTGAGTTCGAATTTTGATAATTTGTTGAGTTCATTGAAATTTATCCTTTTGAATACACTTAATTCTAACGTAGAGGACCTACCTTGACTAAATTTAAAAGAATATTAGTCGAAATACGTGTAAATTAAACTCAACAACTTTGAAGTAATAAAAAAAACCACATAACTATTTTTTCAGAAGAAGTTGTGTCACCTTTTAACATGCATTGCTCACCAGTTTCTAGTTTTTTTTTTTATAGAACTTTCCCAAAAAATCTATAAAAAAAAACTACGTAAAGGAGAAGAAAAAATTAATACATAGAGCAAAAAGGAAACCGATATAACAAACTATGTGACCTCTTATAGCATGAAAGTGTCCTCAAGAGAATCAAGAAAACCCAGTATAAAACTTATATCTATAGAGGTGTATATACAGTGGCACCCACATTGAATAAAGTCTCAGAAACCAGACACACAGGAGAGAGAGAGAGTGGCTCATCAGTTATTGGAACAGAAGAAAGAAAATGTTGAATTTACCGTACCTTTTCTGGCTGATCAGATGGAAGGACTGAGGATGAAGAGGAGAGTTTAGAGAGAAGAGAACTGTTTGGGAGGGAACCAAACTAAACTGTAACTAATATCTATGGTGCAATCCTTTCCTCTTATAGAGGGAGCATTTAAGAGGGAAGTGTGAAGTTACGAAACTACCCCTGTGTACTACTTGATGAAATTAGAATAATTCCATAACTGTGATAATTACTTAACATCCACAAAAAGATATGATCTGTCTAACATGTTAAGCCCACCATCAATCATCTTTCATTGTACCCATCCATTATAGCCGTACACGTGTTCGGACAGTTTACTATTCTATGTTTTTTTGTGTGGAATTTAGTGGTGTTAATTTTTGATACGATATGACTTTGATACGGAAAAAAAAAGATCAAAATCTCTCATTTTCCATAAAGAAATGCTAAAAAATTTCACAATTTTTAGAAACAAAGAGTAAACAAATTGGGTTAGCGTTGAACACTAATTACTCAAGTTTCACATTATAAATATGCGTAACTAGTATTATATGAGTACTTTGAGAATTAGAGGATTTTACATTTAGTTATAGTAGACGCTACAAAAATTAAGATATTTTGAGACAAATTTTTTTGTGGCAATTATGTCCATCGTCATAAAATGCATGTTTTAAAGAAAAAAATATTTTTTTGTGGCAACATTGTTGTCATAAAACACTTAATTGCTGCAACAAATACTATTTGAGATGGTCGTTGTCGCTACAAGATTTTTTGAGACTCTACTCATCACAATACCTCGTAATAATAAATGTAGTCTCAAAAAAAATTTGTGACAATAGCCCGTTTCAAATAATATTTGTTGAAACACATAAATTTTTTATAACAGTACTATCATCACAAAAAAACTTTTTTCTCTCTCTAAAATTTTTTTTTTTGTGACAGTGAGCACAACCGCAAAAAAGTGGGTGATGAGTCAAAGAATGAGATTTCTTGTTCACTTTGTAAACGTATCAACTCAAATATGACATGATTAATAAATTGATTGAGTTAGTATTAAAATTTTTAACATAATTAAATTGATGAGTCGGGTTTTGATTATCACTCATTTATCGTGTTTTTAGTCAATTATAAAACTTTTAATATTAATGGTCCTTAACGCTATTAGGTAGTTGTAGTGCCGCCTTATCAAACAGTGAACAAGATGGGAGGCCGTGCATATATAAAAGAAGACAAGATTAAAAGGGCCAGCTCTTGATGGTAATGTGAGGCCTTGGTTCAATCTTAGATTACCCGTGTGTTAGGGCAGTTACATTTTGGAGTTTTGTTCCTATCATGTTCATATGTTTTGGCATTTCACTTGGAATTTTGGTATGCATACAAGTTCCTTTGTTTGATTTGTTCCATAACCAGCTAAGAGTGATGAAGAGTTTGCGTGCAAAAATGTTAATGGTTGTCGTCACTTTATCATCATCGTCGTCGTCATAATTGTTATTTTTTTTTTCGAGCTCATTCTTATATCTTTATCGGACTAAGTAAAACAAGTTTAACAATTCTTAATACATTCTATTAATTTAATGCCAATCTACACGAAATTACCATGTTTGCGTGTAATATTAACTGGTTGGGTCTAGCTAATGTGCTAGAGTTGTTTAATAAATAGATTTTATATGAGTTTGGTAGTATTGTGACATGATTTGGCTTATAGAAAGTACGAATTCGATCCAATCCGTCAACACAAAAGTACTAAGTGTCAATTTATTCTTAATGTATTTGAATCATAATTGAGTTGCCAAGCAAATTCATTTAATAAATGGGTAGTGAATGGTCAAGTCAATTTTGACAAGACACAATTAGAACATGTTTTCAGTTCTTAGTATCATTTAGTTTAGTCTGTCAAAAAAAATGTTTTGGTTGATTTGATATACACAATCTAAGTACGATAGTCACATTCTGTTTTTGATCATGTCGTGTCAAAACTGTATCATGTTTTGTTGTGCGAAAATTTATTTAATTTTATACGTCGTCCATTTATAGTAATTTAATTCCTATCGTGTCAAATTCGTACTGTGTGTAAATGATAAAGGAGTATCTCCAATATAAAGCAAGCAAGTTAGGTAGCTACTTAGAGCCCCCGATTTACATCGAACTGGCTTCGAAGTTGTGTTTAGCAAGTTTAATTGATCCAGTCTACCTGTTTACCATTTAAACTCTATAATTAAACTTAAATTTATTAATTTTATATCGATTTAATATCAGGCTCTCGTATAGTATTTTGAAGTTGTATATTGTGTGGTTGATGAAGGGCATAATAGTGAAAAAGCGTGTTGGATGTATGAGTGGCTCTGTAAGTTCTATACTATTGATTGGTGCAAAAAAATGGTTCAAAAGAACTTTTTTGGTGGTTCATGACATGGAGCTGTCTGTAGCTGGTGCATGGCTGGTTGCCATGATGGTCCTTCATAACTTGCCAGGTGGCATACTAATTCATCTTTTTTCATCTCGAATGTTTAACACTTCAAAATTAATATTATCCTTTTTTTTTGAATTTTTTGATGAGATTAATAGCTTTTTAGCAATTTTCTCTTACCACATTTCTCTTGGTTAATTTGGTGGCATATGCTATAGCTCCTAGCTGCTGTGTTAGGTGGTGGGTTTGGTGGTGGTAGTGATAAAGGTGACTAGTAGGGTGGTTTGCTGGTGGTGAAGGGGAGCAAGTTTGATGAATGTGGGTTTGATGCCTGGTGGTGGTGATTGTAGAGTTGGTTACTTTGATGGTTTGTTGCGGCGATGGTTGTGTGACGAGCATGTGGCAACTATGATAACGAATTGTGTTATATTAAATTTGTGTTGTGTATAAATAACGTATAAACGAGTTATGTCATGCATTTTTTTTGATTGACTTCACTCATATCCAATTCATTTATTAATCGTATCGTGTTAAGTTCACTCGTTTACGAACGGATGGTTTAAGAAAAACTCAGGGTCTGTTTGATTTGTATCTCTAAAAACAAAATCCAAAAATAATTTTTGATAAGAGTTTTAAGAAAGTGTTTTTTAAATTTTCTATATTACAAAATATGTTTAGTTATATAATTTTGAAAATAGTTTTAAAAAACATAAAATAGTAAAATCTGTTTAGACAATAATTCATAATATCAATTTTTTCACTTATCACTTCTGATAAAAAATTAAAAAAAAATTGGTAAGGCAATCACGTCTATAGTGCAGATGCTCCATTATCTCTCTTTCTCTCTCCCCCTATTAGCTTTAGATCTTCTAACACAGTAACTCTCCATCTCTGCATCATCTTCTCACACAACAAAAACAAACACACACACAGCCATCGCACAATACGTAGATATATACACACACAGAGATCTACATATCTACACAGATCGAAAGAGAGAAAGAGAAGATGAGTTCTCATGCACACACACTCACACAGACGTGTACAGATTTGTGTATATACACAGATCTATGCTCAAATCTATGTATATACACAGATCTAAAGCTGAATTAGAGAGAGAGAGAGGGAGGGGGAGAGAGAGAAAGTTATGAAAAAGAGATAGAGAGAACGGTGGAGAAGATGAACAATCAGTCACCATTTTTTGTCTCCAATGAAACTCGAAGTGGAGACCTCATTAATTTGGAGATGCTCCTATTTTCTGTGTTTTCATTTTTCTTCAAAAAATACTGGAAATAACATTTTGTTGTTCTTTAATATCACATCTCAATTTTTAAAATTTTTAAAAAATTGGAGAACAAAAAAGGCTAACCAAACAGCGTCTCCCTTGTTTTTTGAATTTTGAGAATAAAAAACGATTTTGGAGATACAAACCAAACAACCCCTCTAACTCTCTATTTTGTATCGTGTTAACGAATCATATCATATTTTGATACTCTTAGATAGCGTTGTCAATTGTTTAACACAATTTTACTTAAAAATCAAAATTATTAGAGAGAGTGTAATATAAATATCTTTATCCTCTCGCGTGTAAGTTGAAATTCTAGCTAAGCATATGCACATTTTATAATTATCAAGGAGACAACGAAATTTGAAAACAAAATCTTTTGGTAAAATATCATGTTAATTACAATTTCATTCAAATGCCTAAGTTAGTAAAATAGGATATAAAGTAAATGTTTTTAGAGAAAGGTTATTTGTACTTAAAAAGTTGAAATAATTTTTTGATTTAATAAATCACAATCATTGAATAAGTAGTGAGTTCCAATAAATAGTAAGATCCACAACTAAATAAATGATAGTGATTGATTAAGTCAATTTTTTAAGTTTGTGTAGCATTGTTCATGTTTTTATACTTTAACACTAATGTATCCGATTTCAGGGTTTGAGTAGGGAGTTTGGGGGTGATTTGTATCACTAGAGTTTGTGGGTTTTCTGCATGGAAAATGTTATTCAGACTTAATTTAAGTATTTAATTCAACATAATCATTGAATTGAAAATAAACTTCATCTAAAAGTAAAACTTACAACTAATCTAATAACTATATTGAATTAAGTCCCTATAACGTTATTCTTTGTGCATAATCAATGCAATTAATCAATATTGATTCAGCACTTAATAAATTATATGTTTGAGAAAATTGAAAGTTCATGCTAGCAAAACATACAAATTCAGTGGTTATTAAACAATTGACAAAGCGTAAATTTGAAATCGAGATAACTCGAATTTAATCAATGCACATTATTCTAATTGAAGACATTCAATTGTTTCAATTTAAATTATTTGGAGAATGTTTTATATAGATATTAAATCTACAAAAAAAATATAGACAATTAAACTTATTTCTCGATTCAATAGAAGATCAAAGAAAATTTCGATTCCCAATTAAAGAGAAATATATAAAAAGTAGGGTTGATAATATGTATTTCTAATCTTAAATGAAATGCAATGATATAAAGATATGTAAATATAGTATCTATTTAGATACGTTCAAATAATTCTTCCCATGTGTGTAACCCTATTCGTTAATTCACTCATCTCACCTTAAAAACGAGAGTGTGTGTGGTCCCTTTGAAGGGCGGTGCCGCCTTACGGAGGGAAAGTCACGTGACAAGGACGGCACTGCATTGGGGGGCACAGTCACTGCTTCACTGTCCACTATCACAGTCCCAATTGAGGATTAACACTTTTAGATGTACAACTTCTCTGTTGATCGACACGTGCATAGGTCAACAGCGTGAAGGACGGTGGACACAGCAAAGAAAATGAGTTTGATGGGGCTGTGAGTCACCGCATATGCATTGACACGTGCACTGCTTTAACGTTGTGGCTCTTCCACGTGGCTTTTGAGTTCACGTATCTTTGATGATTCCACAATAATGACTCCTTGCTTCTTTTTTATATTTTTGTTTCTGTTTTTTTTAAGATGACTTGCTTATTATTTTATTTTTTAAACAAGGGACCTACTTCACATTGGATTTATTCCGTATATTGACAATGATCTACAAATCACTTACATTAGTTAAGTCCGGGAGACATCGACAAAAGCTGAATTTATGATACCCGAGTCTACAATTCGTCAAAATCTAACCTCTCACCATTGAATTACTTGTGCAAATTGAATTACTTATTATTAGCAACTAATTCTCATGTATTTTTTTTTGTATATACTGAATTTTATCAGGAAACAAATGCTATTTTTTTTTTTTATGGAATTTAAGCATTTTGAATAAATTTAGTAAAAAACGAAAATTTTGATTTATCAAAACAAAAAGTAAAATTTTGTAGTTTTTTATTGAATTGGACAGGTCGATGGGTCTGGGCAAGGTTGGGTCAAATCATTGAGACAAAAAAGCCCACGACTCTATGGTTGAGCTCCACGGACCCTCATGGGGCGATCCAAGCAAGCCCGGGAGCCACCGAAATGCTGAGGCTTAAATGACTACATTGATATTTAGTGAATCACAGTGTAAAAATAATAATTGGCAATGAGACCACTGTGCTAAATGCTAAGGCAACACAATTAGTGGTGACTTGCATGCCAATATTACGACCTCGGCTTGTTTATTCGTAAATGTGATATACATTTTTTTTATGCAGAATTTTCGTACTACAAGCATTGTCAAACCATATGTACAAACACAATAGACTAACCATCCACTTATAACGAGATTTGAACCCACGATCTAAAAGAAAGATAGTGTTGACATACCAAGTCTACCAATTATTGATGATATTTTTTGACAGTACACACAATAACAAATTACAGGTAGAATTGGCTACAATGGCATATATATATATATATATATATATATATATATATAT